TGGTAGTTGAATTGAGTGAGGCAATAAAACGCGTAATTTTTTGATGAGGTGGCCCGCTCGTTGGTGTGGCCCGCTCACCGGTGAAATACGTTATTATCTACACAAATCCAAACATGAGCTACAACAGTTCTAAGATTAACTAACAACAGATATCAATTCGTAAAATCATCATCATCTAGTAACATTCATCAAGGCTTTTCTCTAGCCATTTTATCTTTTGCTGTTGTTGAGGTTCTCCTGTTTAACCTGGGAGACATAAATCCACCATGCTCAAAACTCCCAATGTGGAAAATAAAAGAAAAGAAAAGAAAAAGAGAAACAAATACCACGCCAATTCCTCTTGTATGCCGAAAAACCGAACAAAGACGCCAATAGCTAGCAATTGCGCTCCCAACCCGAAAGTAACAAGATAAATCACAGAGACAAATCAAACGGCCAACTCTATTACAACCCCAATGGTAGAACATCAGCTTTTGTCTTGCCTGCTTTTTAGTAGGGGGGAAAAAAATAAATATGGTGTCATAACTGTACAATCAATCGAATGAAATCGAATCACAGTCAATGTGAGTCGTTGCTGGGCTGTTTGCTATGAGCCCTTTTGCGGCTAGTAGCTTCCCAAATCAGACGCTTTCGTTTCTGGTCATCGATCTCGAAGAAGGATGAGTTATCAGGAGTGTGGCTGGGAATATTTTCCGGTCGCATAGCGAGAGCGCCCGAGGACTTCATTTTCTTGAGGCTCTTGACCTTTCCAGCGTCGCTGAGTTTTCGCAGCTCTCGTGTTAGCCGCTCCAATGCAGATCCACCCGTTTTCTGGTGAGCTTGTTTCGGGGCCGGTGGCAAGGGTTTGTCTAGGATTTCTTCGGAGCTGTTGCTGCTGTGAACAGATGGGGCGTGGAACTTGTCTGCCGAGCCGAAGCTGATGCCCGAATCCACCTTCCGACGGGGTTGAGACTCCGCCTCCACAACCACCTCGAGACTGCTCTGATCATTGACCATGGCACAGTCATCGATGATTTCGTTGGTAAGCCGAAGGTACCTATCCAAAGCGTCCCGCACTAGCGGCCATCCCGTCTCCTCTCCCTCCGGTGCTCCCTGCGTAATGACCTTCTGGAGGATCTCTTTTCCATTGGGCTTATCGAAGGCCGCAATGTACCGGAAGAAGCCATCCCGTTGGGACTTGAGAATCTTAGCAGTCAACTGTGGCGTAGGGTTGACGGTTGCAGCCGTGATGGGTGGGAATAGAGTGTTAAGCATGGCAATACAATTGGCCTTGTTGTGTGGTTCGAGCAGCATCTCATTGATCAGGGTCTGAGGGAAATCATTAGTCACCTATTGAGGAAAAGACTAGGCATGGTGACTTACCCAGCGGCGTAGGCCAATATAGACTTGGGTATAGAGTGCCTCAGCAGTGCGGTTTTTGGCGCAGTTGGACTCGATCCAGGTCAAGACATTGGGCCATTTCTTTCCAAGCTCCTCTTTCTCCTTGAGATCGTCCGGCTTGATCTGCAAACGGTCCAGGGCCGCTTTCACCTCCTTCCTTCGACGAATCTCTAGATCTCTGAGATAATCAAGACCAGTCAACGCCTGAGGAAAGTCAACGTCACCCAACTCCGGGGTGAAACAGCGACGCAGAAAGGAGGTCACAAAGCTGGGAGGCAGAGAGCATGGCTGTGACGGCAATCGGGAGATCTGATGGGTGAGCAATGCCCTAAAATCGGCGGCACGATCCAAAGCATCGTCCTGGGACGACACTGAAGACTTTGGCGAGTGGGACGGGCGCTCGCAGAAAGCTGTCTCGGGAGCACGGTTGGTGGGCGGCGGCTGTCTCGTTGGGTTGCAGTTCAATGCATACATAGTGCGTAATGGAAGTTCGTAAGTACCAGGGTAACGAAGACAGTGGTCAAAGATCCAGGTCAATGCGGACCCATCTGGGGCATCCAGGAGCTCTTGTGAATTCGCCATGATGTGTAATGAATGGAGGAAGCAAGCGAAACGAGGAGTCACAATGGTATGAAGGGAAGAGTAATGTAGGTTGCGATGGCAAGGAACTACGAGGGTAAAGGAGTATAAGAAGGGAAGCCAGGCATCCAAGCTGGCGAGAATCGAATGGAAGGGGATAAGCTTAGGGATAGGAAGGCGCTTGTACGACGTGACGGGATGCAGTCAAGAACCGTACACACACATACACACTCTCTCAAAGTTGACTGGAGCTGTTCGCGCTAAGGACGATTGACATTACTCGTATGTAACGTATACGAATATGCAGAGTCGACAGAGTCAAGACCGGTTACCGAAACTCCTTATGTATAGGAGCCAAGGAGCGAGTGGTTTATCCCTTGGGTCTTCTTTGTGGTGGTGCGCGTGAGAGGGGGGTGACGTTCCTGCGGGAGTCTACCAGTGGAACCCGTTTTGTCGTCTGTGCTGGGTTGAAGTAGACTGAGTTGCCTCTCAAGTTTTCTTTGTCCTATTTGGACTATTTTGCTTTGTCGAGGACCACGAAGATTGGAACGGAGGAGTAAGGAGATCGAAGAGTAAAAAAAAAA